TTTCCATGTTAGTCATGTTGTGAAAGAAGAAACAGACCAAAAGGAGAAAACCATGAAAAAGATTTTTTAAAAATTGAAAATAGTATGCTTCGATCTGCATTTAGAATCTGTCAGCTCTCTCTCTGGAGGTGGATAGCATTTTCCATCATGAGCCCTTTGGGATTGTCTTGGATCATTGCATTGCTGAGGAGAGATAATCTCACGATGTTGTTACTGGGCCTCTTCCTCCTGCCCACCCTAGTGCCTTCTCAGAGATCGTCTTTCTTCTACTCAGTTTGTACCTCATTTTTACCTGTGCGTGTTGTCTCCTCCGTTAGAATGAGCGCTTCCTCACCGTTATTTTTTGTTACTGAGTCGTTCAGTTGTGTCTGACCCCATGGACCACAGCGCGCCAGGCCCTTCTTCCTCCGCTGTCTCTTGAAGTCTGTCCAAGTTCATGTTCATTGCTTCTGTGACACTATCCATCTCCTCCTCTGCCCTCCCCCTCTCCTTTTGCCTTCAATCCTTCCCAACATCAGGGTCTTTTCCAATGAGTCCTGTCTTCTCACTGTGTGGCCAGAGTACTTAAGCTTCAGCTTCAGTATTTGACCTTCTAGTGAATAGTCCGAATTAATTTCTTTAAATATTGGCCAATTTAATCCCCTTGCTATCCAAGGGACTCTAAAAGTCTTCTCCAGGACCTCATTTCAGGAGTGTTAATTCTGTGGTGCTCAGCTTTCCTTATAATCCAACTCTCACAGCCATACATTGCTACTGGAAAAACCATAGCTTTGACTATGTGGACCGTTCTGGGCAAGGTGATGTCTCTGCTTTTTAGTGTGCTGTCCAGATTTGCCATATCTTTTCTTCCAAGAAGCAAGCATCTTTTAGTTTCGTGGCTTCAGTTGCCTTCTGCAGCGATCTTTGAGCCCCAGAGTATGAAATCTGACACTGCTTCCATTTTTTCTCCCTCTATTCACCAGGAAGTGATGGGACCAGTTGCCAAGACCTTAGTTTTTTTGATGGTAAGTAAGCTTCAAGCCAGCTTTTACACTCTCAACAAAAGGGCTTCTTAATTCTTGTCCACTTTTTGCCTTCAGAGTGGTATCATCTGTACATATCTGAAATTGTTGACATTTCTCCCGACAACCTTAATTTCAGCTTTTGATTCATCCAGCCTGGCATTTTGCATGCTGTGATCTGCGTATAAGTGAAATAAATAAGGTGACAATACGCAGCCTTGTCACTCCTTTTCCAGTCTTAAACCAGTGAGCTGTTCCATGTTTGGTTCTAACTGTTGCTTCTTGGCCCCCATACAGGTTCCTCAAGAGACAAGTCAGATGATCTGGTCCCCCCCGGTCTCTGTGAGGACTTGCCACATTTTGTTGTGATTCACACAGTCTGAGGCTTAGTGCTGTCAACGAAGCAGAGGTGGACATTCTTCTGGAGCTCCCCCTCTTCCTCCATAGTCCAGCAGATGTTGGCAGTTACTTCTGTAGTTCCTCGGCCTCTTTGAAAATCGGCCTGCTCTTCTGGTAGTTCTTGGTTCATATATTGTTGAAGCTTAGCTTGCAAATCTTAAGCATGACCTTTGCTGGCATGTGAAATGAGGGCAATTGTTTGGTGATTTTAACATTCCTTGGCGTTGCCCTTCTTTAGGATTAGAACATAAACTGATCTTTTCCAATCCAGTGGCCACTGTTTTCCAAATTTGCTGGCATATTGAGTGCGGTATTTTTTATTTTTTTATTTTATTAATTTATTTTGATTTATCAACAATGACTTCCATATGCTTTTGAGTTTAAAATTTTTCTCCCCCTTCCTTCCCCTCCACCCTTCCCAAGACGGTGCACAATCTGATATGGGCTGTACATTTACATTCCCATTAAACATATTTTTACATGAGCGATGTTGTAAGTAAAAATTAAGAACAATAGGAGGAACCATCCGAAAGAGGAAACAAAACTCAGCAGAAGAGAAAAAAATAGCAATTCAACTTCCATCGTTCTGTCTTTGGATGTGGGCAGCATTTTCCATCACGGGGCCTCTGGAGGTGTCTTAGATCCTTGTATTGCTGGGAAGGGTTCGGTTTATCAATGTTAGTCGTCACACAACATGGCTGTTACTGTGTACAACGTTCTCTTGGTTCTGCTCTCTTCACTGAGTGCGGTATTTTAACAGCATCATCTTTTAGGGTTTTAAAGAGCTCAGCTGGAATTCCATCACCTGCACTAGCCCTGTTGTTAGCAGTGCTTCCTAAGGCCCACTGGACTTTCCTTTCCAGGCTGTCTGGCTCTAGATCAGTAACCACACCATTGTGGTTGCTAGGGATGTTAATAGCTTTCTGGTGTAGTTCTTCGATGTATTCTTCTTAATCTCTTGTACTTAATCATTTTTGTCTTTTATCATGCCCATTTTTTCAAGAAACGTTCCTTTGAAACCTCTAACTTTCTTGATCTCTTGTCTTTCCCATTCTGTTGTTTTCTTCTATTTCTTTGCATTGCTCATGTTAGAAAATCATATACCTCCTTGCTGTTTGGGAATTCTGCATGCAGCTGGGTATGCATATCTTTCCCTTTCCCTTTCGCTTTCCTTCTTTCCTCAGCTCTTTGCAAAGCCTCCTCAGACCACCATTTTACTTTCTTGCTCTTCTTTTTCTTTGGGATGTTTTTTGTTGCTCTCGCACAATGTGGCGCACTCCTGTCCATGGTTCTTCACACGCTCTGTCTATCCTTTGTATCCTCATATCTGTATCCCCAGCTCACAGTCAACACTTCATGCTTGTTGGCTGACCAGCTAGTCTAGTCCCAGCCTCAAACATGGATCCCCTTAAGAGCATCCCCACAAGTGGTCATCCATATTGAGCCATGCTTACAATTCTGGTTAAATCCTCTTTGATCATAATGAATATCTTCTTTTGTTTGTCATTATTTTGTACCAGTATTCAGGCTAGAGGAGCAATGCCTAGGGGAAGAAATGCAGGCTTTGGCATCAGAGGCCTACCCCGAAATCCTGCCTCTGACACTCCCTGTGTGGCCTTGGGCCAGTCCCTTCACTTTGGTGGGTGGACTTCAGTCTTCTCTGCAGAATAAGGGCCCCGCGGCCCCTTCTAGCTCAGCTCCATGAAGGGGACACCTTGACTCGCTTTCCGCTTTTGCATGGGTCTGCTTAGGGCAGTGTCTGGAAGGCCTGTCAGTCAAGCCCCTGTCCCCCCAGGCCAGGCCTCTGTTGTTGTTCATCTGGAGCCTGCTCTGTGTCAGACCCTGGGCTGAAGTGAAACAGCCAGCTTCCCTTTCCTCTGCCTCTCAGAGCACAGAGCCAGCAGGGGCGGGCTGCTTGGAGTGAGGGTTTTCCTCACCAGGGGAACCACAGACACGTACCGGGAGTTAGTGCCAGTGAGTCTCATCTCTTTTCTTTTTTTTTTTTTTTTTGGTGAGGCAGTGAGGATTAAGTGACTTGCCCAGGGTCACACAGCTAGTAGATGTCATGTGTCTGAGGCCAGATCTGAACTCAGGTGCTCCTGACTCGAAGGCTAGAGCTTATCCACTGTGCCACCTAGCTGCCCCTCTCATGTCTTCCACGGAACAGCCCTTCATGTAGTCAAAGGTGGTTTTCATAGAGTCAGAGAAAATGAGGAGTTAGAAAGGATCTCAGGCCACTCATCCATCAGAAGTACCTGGCATTCTCTGCTGCATCCAGAGGCAGTGTGGTAGAATAGTCAGGAGGACTGAGGGGCCAGTCCTGCTTCTGGACAGGTCACTTTTCCTCAAGGGCTGGAAGACTGCAGGTTGTATTGGTAGAGGGAGTTTCCTCATCTCCATTGATTGATGAGATCAGCTCAGCCAATAAGTAAATCAATTAAAAGTTGCTTTAAAATTTGAAACTCACTTCATACATCTCCTTTGAACTGGGGAGATAGGGACGAAGGCTCATGGCCAGTACACATCACAAGGAGGGTTTGCATCCAGGCCTCTTGCACTCTATGGTCCGGTCCCTCCCTGCCAAAGCCTCTCCTCTCCACCGTGACCAACCAGGGGGCCATCTGTCCCTTTGTTTGCAGCTGTCCAGCCAGGGGAGCCGTCCACCCCCTGCTCCTGTGGAGGCACTCATCTGGCGAGTACGTGTCTGCCGAAATCCAGCTGGAAATGGGCTCTTGGCCACTTGTGGTGACGCTCCGGTGTGGCCAAGCAGAGCAGGGCGAATCTCTCCCAGTCTTCTCTTCTCCAGTCTAAACTGCCCCCATTTCTTCAGCCAGCCTCATTTGGCGTGATCTCAGAGCCCTGCCCGTCCTGGTCACCCTTCTCTAGACACACACTCCAGCTCCTCAGCGGCCTTCCAGGAGGCCGAATGATGGAATGGTTGGTTAGAGGGTGGGATTGGGAGTTTGGGGTACCTGGAGTGAGATCCAGCCTCAGGCGCTTAGTAGCCAGGTGTCACTGGGCAGCCATTCATCGTTTCTGAGCCTCAGTTTGTTTGTCCCTAAAATGTTGTGAAAGGTGGTTGTGAGGGTCAAATGAGACATTTATGAAGTGATTTGTAAATCTTAAGGTGCTGTGTAAATGTGAATTTTTTCCAGAAGGTTCTGCCACTATGGAACATGACCCAAAGTCCCCAGATTCAGGTGGGACTATGTACCAGCCACTGTGTTAGGGCCAGATTTGTAGTCGGAGGTACAGAGTTCAGATTCTGGTGCCTATGCTTAATACGTGTCAGCCTGGCCAGGTGCCTTCATCTCTCCGCATTTCAGTCTCCTCCTTTCCAAGATGACAGCATTAGACAGAGTCCTGTGATTATACTCCTCCCTTCTGTGTTTGTTGGCCTTCATATTTAAATTGAGGGAAAAGGATATTTTGGATTGAGATCACACAACTGCCTAGCTTCATCCTGTAGCTAACACTGTGTTTATTTTCTTTGTCAGTAAATTCGAAGGGTTACTGTCCATGGTGGGAATTGATTATCTTCATTATGTAACTGTTTGGGTCTTTCTTACCTGTGTTTACCCCTTTTTTGGTGCATGTCAGGGTGAACCATCTGGATCGATAAACTGGAACCAGGCATCCTCAGCAGCCCTCATGCTGTCATCTGGCGTGGAGACGCAGCCACTGCCTCTCGATTCCCCCATGTCTGCGGGGGCCCAGGAGTTGTACACAGAACTTCCAGTAAGCATCTCCCCAGAGCTTTCTGCAGAATTCGAGCCAAGCGTTGTTCCAGATGCAAAACCTGAAGTCTCGAGTTCCTTGGTGCGGACTTTGCCTTTAGAACCCCAGAGAACTCATGTGGAAAATTGCTCTCAAGACGCTGACCCCATGGGTGATGGGGAAGAGGCAAGGTGTTGTGGCCTGGCTGCAGGCTGCACAGCCAGAGACCCTGTGGCTTCAGGAGTCCTTGTGAAAGAGAGGGCAGAGCAGGAGGGAAGAGCTCTCAGAGTCCCCCAGGAGGGATTGGCGGAAGGCCAGGGCGAACCTGCCCCAGCAGCTGCTGAAGGAGTGCGTGGCTTGTGCCAGGTAAGAAGAGATCGACCCACGAGAGTTCTGAATTCCGAACTCCGGGAGCGAGTGCATGAAAAGCAGTCATGAAGCACTTACTGTGTGCTCAGTGCTGGGGAATGAGGGGACCAGACTTCCTGGCTGGTCCCAGCTGCCGAGAGCTCATGTTCTAATGGGGAGGAGGGCTCAGCTGGAGGGCCGTAGCGAGGCTTGAGGGGTCCTGGGGGCCGTGCGCCAGCAGCAGATGGTCCGCAGAATCACAGGCATATTGCAAATGTCACCTGCTTCCCAGGGGGTGTTTTATTCTGGGGAATGTTATCACATGCCCGGTTTCACAGTTCATCCAATGGGCCATTCCTTTGTCAGGAGAAGCAGACGAAGGAGGGAGGAATCCTTCCATCCATGGCTGGGGCATTTTCAGGTTAGGATGTGATGGGCTTTTCTCAGTTTGGGGGTGGGACACCTCAGAAATGCCAGACTCGTGGCATCAGGGTAGTTTCCCATAACTGCTTTTGATATCTTTTTTTTTTAATTCTTGGTTATAAGGGAGAGAAAATGCTGTTGTTCACTCATTTTTAAGTCATGTCTGACTCTTCATGACCCAGTTTGGGGTTTTCTTGGCAGAGGTACTGGAGTGGTTTGCCATTTCCTTCTCTAGCTTATTTTATAGATGAGGAAACTGAGGCAAACAGGGTGAAGTGACTTGTCCAAGGTCACCTAGCTAGCAATTATCTGAGGCCAGATTGGAACTCAGGAAGACAAGTCTTCCTGACTCTAGGCATGGCACTCTATCTGCTGTGCCACCTATGTGCCCAGAAATGTTGTAGATGATACAAAAACAAACCCTATCAATAAAAATGTGTTTTTTTAAATTTGAAAACCACTTTCCTCACAACAGTTCTAGGAGGAAGGTGGTGTAATTAGTACAGAGCTAATAAGTGTTGGAGCTTACATCAAAAGGCAGAACTTTTTGATCTTCAGAGCCTTGGTTTCCCCAACTATAAAGTGGGGCTGTGGTAGCTACTTGTATCTTCTCCCTCCTTCCCAGGCCTGTTGTGACTCCGGCACTACAGAAATGGGATCTTGTAGGCTTAAAGTGCCCCTGGTCCCTAAATCTCCATCCCCAGGCTGTACTTGCTGTTAGGGTGGTGATTGGCATTGGCCTTGGGACCATCCGTTCCTCGGACTTTTAAGGGACTCTCTGAGTGTCCTTTCGGAAAGCACGGCCAAGACTTCCCCCACCTTTCCTTTCAGTGTAGCTGCTGTGTCCTGGTGTCTGGTAACATACGAGCAGCTCTGCCACGTGCAGAGGATCCAGAGATAAAAGGCAAGGCAGTGGTCCTCGCTCTCAGGGCATTTCTGTTCTGCAGAGGGCAGGGGCTTGGAAGGAATAATATGTATGCAGAGAAGTTGTTGTTTTAAATAAGGTTTATTGATATCTTTTTTTCTTACATCAGCATAGTTTTCCCTCCATTTGTCCTCCCAGAGAGCCATCCCACATAACAAAAAATGATTTTTTTAAAGACAAAAAGAAGGAAAATCAGACAACTGATCAAAAACGTGAAGATATGTACAATGTTCAGTATTTGTCTCCCGTCTCTACCAAGGGGAGTGGGTTGGGAAAATCTCATATTGATTAAATATTTTACACACACACACACACACACACACACACACACACGCAGAGGAGTGCGCATAAAGTAAAATGGAAGATGAGGTTGTGGTGAGGAACAGTAACTCCTGGGGAATCAGGGAAGGTCTGGCCCTTGTATTGAGCCTCAGAGGGAGGTAGATCAGGGCCAAGGTGAGAGGGCCTGGGGGCCAGTCTGGTCAGGGAGGGACAGGACAGAAGTTTCAAGCTTGACTGTGACTATTGCCCTCCCTAATTTTCAGCCCCCCGCTGACATCCAGCATCTTTGCTGTGTGCAGTTGGGGCTACCTAGAGCCTTCTGGCCAGGACGACGATAGACCCCTGCTTCCACTTTAGACAGTTACTTACTGCAACCCTGCCATCGTTAAGAGGGGGAAGACAGGAATAGTGGGATTGGAAAGAAAACTTGAAAGAACAAAATGGGGTCAAGAAGAGGGTATTATATGTTAGGAGATAGAAACTCACATTGGAGAGCTGCTCATGAGGCCAAAGAGTACAAGTCGGGTCTTAGCCTCTGGGATATCTATTCGAAAGCTCCTCCATTCAGCAGCCACCCTGGTTCCTGGAGGCCCTGTGACCAGGCTTGGTCCACACAGCTACATCAACCCTACCAAGGGTTCTGTGCAGAGCGAGTCACACTCTGGTGCATCCTGGAATGGTCTCCTGTGTGGCTTCTGACCCGACGCGCGTTCACTGACATAGCAGTCTGGGCAGGTGGGTTGGTGGAGCACGTGGTGCCACGTGGTGCCATCTTGAGCGGCGGCTTGCCCTCTGATGGCCTCTGGATCATGGGTGCCTCTCGGTCAGGGATGCTGTAGGAGCCATATCTGCCTCGTGCGAGTGGGTACCAGGAAGTGAGCCCTGGGACCAGCCCTGGCTGCAGGGCCCTCCAGAATGATGAAGGACCCACAGCTGCTTGGGGTCTCAGCCATTTCTCTTTGTTGATAAACTTTCCCAGTTGCTAGAGAGGTGACCTTTTGAAAACGTCACGTTGGGTCGCTGGAGTCTAGAACCCTTATCATTCGTTACTTTTCCTCATCAAATGATCACATGCCTCGGACATGTTGTAGGTAAGAACAGAAATCATAGAATCCTAGAAACTAGAAAAGGGACTGTAGAGGTCCTGTCTGAGCTCTCATTTGACAAATAAGGAACCTGAGGGCCAGAATGGGGAGAAGACTTTCCTAAGATCACACAGGACTTTCCTTTTCATGAACTTTGCCTTCACTGCCTTTAAAGCAAAACAGAACAAAAAACAAAACAAAAAAGAAATGGCCCTTCAAAGCTAGCAGTGCTTACCTGTTATTTTCTTGGAGCAGTGGGTGAGGGAGCGTTTTGTGTGGACTAATTTCTTTGCTGTTTAACGTGTGTGTGGCTGCAAGGCTTTCCTCTCTTGCAGGCTTCTGAAGTTGCTGATGTGGGTGGGAAGGATGAGTTACCATCTTGCCAGCCAAGAAGCCCGGGATGCGCATGCTTCTCCTGGACGGAGGCCTTTGCTGAAACTTCCATTCTGTGCCCCTCTTCCAGGCATTGGGGCTCTTCCTGCCCTTCACGGTTCCTTTGTACTGGCTTGATTTTGACTTCTGTGTAGCTGTCTTTCTCTCTACCTCCCAGCCTCAGTTTCCTCAAATATAAAATGGGGGCAGTAGCAGCACCTCCCTCCCAGGGTTTTCTTCATGAGAATCAAGCGAAGCCTTTCGCCCAGGCCTGCACGTAGTAGGTTGTTGACCGACTGCTTTATTGGGGGGGGGGGATGATTAAGTGCCTGGAGGGAAGGAATCTTTGGTTTTTCTCTTTGTGCCCTTGCCGGTGTGCTGCTTGTTAAGATAGTGAGTCGATGGTTTGTTGAGTTTCACTGCCTTTTGCTGTAGGTATTCATTTGTGCAATGACAATACATTAAGTGCGTGGGGTAATGCATGCACAGTCTAGAGCCCTGGGAGAAACGGGGAGGGCTTATTGCTGGTTTTAGATCCGGAGATCCGGCTGGTCTGAGACACATACAAGGATTAATTGTGGGTGGAGACATGGCCTGAGGTCGAAGAACAAGCGATTTTTCAGAAAAAATGCAAACTAGCAACAGCCCTGTGAAACGGGTGCTCCATCTCACTGAAAATGAGAGGAATGCACATTTAAAAATTTTAAAGAACGGCTGAGGTTTTTTCATTTCATTCCTGTCACAGTAGCAGAGAATGATAGCAAATATCAGAGAAGCGTGAGAAGATTAGTGTGGACTAATGCAGAGCAAAGGAAGTAGAGGCAGCCATTCTGTAAATGATGTCAGAAGTCAGATTACGTGCCAAGACCCGGCCCTCCTGCCGCCGTGGTTAGTGTCCACAGCCTCGCCAGCACTGACTCCTCCGTCATCCTTGCCAAATTGCTGGCTGTGAGGGGAAACCTCCTGTTTGTTTTAATCAGCCCCCAGCTGATGCTCTGAGGCCTCCAGTGAGGTTGCTCCCCCCCTCCCCAATTCTTCTTTAGGAAGGTTTGGTTGTTGGAAAGTGTTTGCTGATAGCGGACCTCAACCTTCCTGTCTGCGGATTGTCGCCATCATTCCTGGTTCTGTCCTTAGGAGCCGAACGGACCAAGTCCAATCCCTTTGCCGGGCCCCCAGCTCTTGGCTTACTCGAAGATCGCAGTCATGCCCTCTACGGCTTTCAGTTATTGGGAAAACATTTCCCGTGTGGAAGTCTCTTCTTACTGATTTTTCTAACTTTGGACTTCAACTTTTTGTGAGTCCTTTCAGGACCTTAACATGAAAAACCTCAAATATGAAGTTTTCCAACTATAATAAATTGATTAAAGGAACTTTCTGATTTCCTCAGGCCTCTTTACCCTGCTAGCTTTCTCCTGTATAATTCTAAGCCCAGCCCCTGGTCCAGGTGCCATGCTTATTTGATCTAGATAGAAGGACAAGTTCTATAGGTTGTCCTTCTGATTCAAGGTCAAAATGTGGGCTGTGGGAATTTTTTATACATTGGATTTTCCCTCTCAGATGGCAGTGGATTTTGTCCAGGAGGCTCTGCAGTGTTTGGAGGCCTCATGCGTTCACCAGCACTTCTAGAAGACCTCACCATTTATGAGGCATCTCTTATTTGTTTTTCTTTATTTAATGTTTATTCCCCCCCCAAAAAAAAGAAAGAGAAAACCTTTTTAACAGATAGGCATAGTTGAGCTAAACAAATTCTCATATTCAAAAATGGGTCTCTTGTTCTGTATATTTATCCTGTCGCCTCTTTTTCTGGAGGCCCACTGCATTCATTATCATTGGTCCCTCTGGGATCATGGATGGTCTTTTACTTTTTTTTTCTCCTTCTTTCTTTTTTTAAAAGTTTTTTTGGTGAGGCAGTTGGGGTTAAGTGACTTGCC